AAACAAAACAAAAAGTAATTTTATTTTTGTCAAACCGAATAATTCAGCACGAGAAACATAAACTAGAAAAATCAATGCGATATTGCCAAGAAATATACAAAGACGTGATACATGTGTATTGGTCTATTTAAATGCCCTCCCTATGTAGCGCCCTCTGGTAATCATTTCACATAATCTGAACAGCCTCAATGCCATGTGTTACGTGATGCACTGCACTTTCTTGATCATACATGTGACATCACCTCTCATCGTCTGTAAACATTTTACCCGTGTTTTGCAGGCACTGTTGAGCGAAAATATCGTAAACCACAGTCCCTCTATTACAGTAAAGTTATTTATTCTAGTTGTTGGAACCGAAACAAAATTGTCTTGAATAAGCCGTCCGTTTCATGTGAAAATCATAATGATATATTTGGCGTGTTAAATTATTCCTGTTTGGTTAATATTTTGTACATTATGATTTTTTGGGATAAACTTTTCTATTTACTTTCACCTTCTTGAGGCCTCCATGGCCGTAGTCAATGGCGGAGGCTTACAACCAGCGGGGTTTTACCGCGCGATGTATCATAGAACAGCTAATTGACTGCGCAAGCGTAAAGCGATTTTCGCTTTGCCAGGTAATGTATGTTAATTTTATGTAAATGAAGGGCAGCGCTGACTCGTGACTGTAATGGCGCTTGTGATCTGCTGAAAACGGTGAGAAATTCATTTTATATTCGTATTTTTCAGCTTCAAACAACATATTATGAATATACAGGCGCCCTATGCGGTGCAACAATAATTGTTTTTCACTTTCGCCAGCTTGTTTCTGTGTGTTTCATGCATTTTAAAGTATTTTTTGACGATATTTTGAACTAATGCTGCAGTATCGAAACATGGATTTTTTGCTGCCTTGCCAACACTTTTTTGAAGACCTCATCGCCGAATTGTCTAGAAAAGCTGTTTTTATTTCGCTCTTCATTCAACCAGACATGTTTTAGGATATTACCAGATGTTGTACCGTGTACCTGTCGCGCTTTAGAATAGTTTTGCCGGTTGTTAACATATTTTTTCTCATTAGAAGCGAAAGCTTGTGCTACGAGGAAATTTGGAATTTTGTATAGGAAGTTAGTGTGTCGGAGGTGACCGGGGGTGCACGCATCTACAACTTATTGCCTACTTTATTTGTTACTTAAAAAAGAGTTTAGATATGCAGACTGTGTATTACCGATAGAACAATATCTCAACAGCCATTTGGACGCATTTGTTCTCGCCTAGCCTATCATAGAAACAATATTTTCGAAGTTTACCGAGTTTCGGCGAAATAAAAGGTGTCGCTCAGCCGCCGCCATGTTTCTTTTATTTCGCGCGATCAAAACACGCTGAAAGAGGACGCGGTGACATAAACTGCTAAAAGTGCTGAATTTTCCAGTTCGATGTCGTAAAAAACGCGAAGTTGTTTAGACTGAGATATTTTCTGTCGCTTTTCTTTCATAAAAAATTCGTCCTATAAACAGTTTTTTGAAAAATAAACGAGTTTTTCAATAATAAACTGACCTTTCGTTTTAGTTGCATTGTCAACTTTCCCCTATTTATTATTTGACGATGGACTTCTCATTACTTTTCGTAAGTTTAGTAATCTTCTAAACCGGAAGTGATCATTGGAAAATTATAGTAAAAATGATTTTTTGTTTCCGTAATTTTTGTTGTCTATTTCTTCAAATAGAAAACCTAAAAAGTTAATCATACAAAAGCTTGTTTTTGCTGTGTGCATATTCGTATTTGTCCTTTGCTTACGTGTTCATTTGCATATTTGGTGATGGCTGTTTAACTTTTTATACAGGGGTGTGCAGCTTTTTTTAAGAGGGGCAGCCAAAATATATGAAATATTCAACAGTGTGAAAAAACAAATTAATTTTTCAACCTACTGGCCATCATTGGATTATAATTTTCATGACCATGTTTTTTCTTCTACATTTGTATAAGTGATGTTATTGCGTTTCACTGCAGTGCTGATTATCAGGAGACAACAAGGTATATGCCTAAATCTCCCAATTAATTTACTTGCACAATGGGAGACAAAAGACCAATTTATAGTGTAAACAACATAAACAAGTGAGGTACTATAATCCAGAGTTAGGCAGTTGTCTCAAGAGAATACCTGTCTATATATATCTAGAGGGACTGTGCTAGAACTGAACAAGAAAATGATAAATATGGACATTTCACTTCTGTTTCATGAAAAATACAGTAAATTGATTGATTTGTATATAATAATGAACTATAATTTTGTCACTGTAATATAATTGCAACAAAATTAAAATTGTTTATAATATTTTACTGTACAAATACAAAATTTATTGATTTTGTCATGAGTTTAGTTTTTAGGCGTTTGATGTTACTTCACTTTAGTTTTTAATAGTCGTAATGTACAAGTATTATTTATTAGATTCTATTTGTGAGAAAATTTGTGACAAATTTTAGTTAGGATAGGGCTTTCAGAAACGCGCATATTTTGTTATTTAGCTTCAAAATCCCCCCAAAATTGTTTTAATTTTTATTAGCACAAGATGTTGGACTGCAAGCTGTTTTAAAAAGTTCAAAAAATTGATTTCTTTTTAACCACCAGGCTTTCACACCCAAATTTTTCTACATTTTTTTCTTACTCTAAATTTGGAGCCAACAGACAAAATTTGAGTAAATTTTCAGTTTTTACTCAAAAAAAATGTGCTATTCGGAAGGAAAGTACAGACTTTAAACAGGACTATTTTGTGAGTTTGTGACGAAAAGAGGGAACTGTGATGGATAGGTTAATACTGGTTTCAGATGCTGTAATAACCCAGAGAAGTGAGAACTGAAATTACTAATTGATTCATAAATAAGCCATGTGATATTAAATAAGTTGTGTATGAATACAGTTAGGGTTAGAGAAGTTTAAGTGGAATAATAATTATATACAAGAGGAAAGGGCGTGCCCACTGCTATTGACAGATATTAATTTTGTTATTTTCAATAAAATGTGATTGCATTTGCAATTTATGATATTTGTGACAGTAGGCGATATCTGGTTAACCTTTTCATCACCAGACTTTCTCGCCCAATTTGTTTTGTACTTTTTTTCTTGTATTTATCATTATTTCTGGAAAAGAACCCTAATTTTGGAGCAAACAGACAAAATTTGTGTTAATTTTCAGTTTTTACTCAAAAAAATTTGGCTATTTTTTTTCCAAATCTTCTGAAGGAAAGTGCAGACTATAAACAAGACTATTTTGTGAATTTTTGAAGAAAAAAATGGAACTGCTGGTGAAAATGTTAATTGCAATGCAAATAAGTTTATAATAAAGAAACCTTATAAACAAAATTTTGTACTAAAATACTGAGAAAGTATTTTTTGGAAATTCCGTTTTGCAAGTGAAAACACAAGTTTTATCTAATTTAATTTCACTTATCAGCAAAATTAAAAACCAGTAAAATTATGTATAGAATGTTCCAGAATTTTTCTGTTTTTAGTATACATTAAAAAGTGTGATAAATTCACCAAATTGTTTAGTTATTAGATGTTGTGTTTCAAATTATTGAACTTACCTGGTTAGTTTAGTAAATATCTTCTCTTCATGATAGAAATATTAACATTTTAATCCACTTTATGCAATTCTTTTACAGTTGGTTTATGTAAATTCCAAAATGTCAGTCACAGTGTGTGACCTTGACTCTTTCTTACCTTTAAAGCATGTGGCTTCCACATGATACTCCACATTAATCAATTACATAAAATAAAACTTTTCATTTGGAAAACCTAGGTTTGTAAATTGATTTGATTGTGAAGTTGAAATATAAAAAAATTGTTGGTTCTTAAGTTTATAAAAAGCACTACTCTCTTTAGTCATCTTTTTACACTGTTCACAAAATACACACTAAACGCAGAGTTTGATATTTGGTATTGTGTGGATACCCATTTTTATGGCAAAAAAAGTTGAAAATGTCTTCATCTAATTTAAAATATGTTTAAGGGCACCAAGGTAGTCAGGTAGGGCATCGAGGCAGTAGCCTTTGTGACCTCTGTGAATGTTGAGCCATGATAATGTTGGTTGGGCGAATGAATGTGTGAAAAAATAGATAACATTTTGGTGTTAATAAAAAACAAAACAAAAGCATGTATTGAGAAACAAGAGTAGGAAAATTTTGGATTCCCTTGTATGTAACGCTAACTTCATGATAAGGTTTGGATATTGGTGCCAAGCCGTTTCAAATATCTTTATCAACAAAATTAATTAGTAGCATTTGTAGTTGTGTTTCAGTCTAATGGCTTTCAGCTCTATCTTGTGGGATATAGATATTTACAGCAATTAGAATGTATTTTTTCATCTCAATGAAATCTTAATCATCTGCTTGCAGGGGTGCCTGATTTCTATGTTAAACAAAAATAGCTTCCACACCTATTCTTGACCAGAATTTGTACAAAAATGATTGAACATGATAAATCCTCCTATCAACATTTCAGTGCAACTTTTTTCTTCTATATTTTCTTTGTTAATTTCAAATCAGTTAGACTTAATTTCTCATTACCTGAAGGTCTTGCTGGATTAGAATTGATAAAAAATATGGAAATTAATTATGCAGATTTATTATGTGAAAGTTTCAACTTTTTAATTAATAAAGCATTAAATAAAGCAGACTAATCTGTAAGTCAGAAATGGTTGAATGTGATTTTTAACTTTAGCATGATTAATAATTTGCGATGTAATACAGTATAAGATGAGAAGCTCCTAAAATTTAATTTAAAAAAAAAGCAATCAACAAATTACTGTATAATGTTTTAAAACATTAGTTAAAACAACTAATTGGCCTAATACCTCGTTAACAGGACAGCATTATATCATAGCCTACCAGCTCAAGACATCAAAAATGATTATGTAAATGTGTTCAACTTGAGCTCTAATGAACCCTCAGGATTGAACTTCGATATAACTGTTCTAGCTTGGGTCTAACAAATCGGACCATACTTGGAAATATGTTTGGCCACAACCATATAAACGCACAAGGGATTATCTCATGTTAATTTGTTGGAAAGAGCAATATTTCAACTCAGATAAAATCTTGCAGAAAGCTGACAACTATAAGGAGCGTTTTAGGTAATCTCCTTTGATCCTTGTAGATTAACTTTTTGTGAGAATCACATCGGGTTTTTTTTTCTTTCTGGGATTTCTCCAATTGTTAATTATAAGCATTTAAACAAGGTCAAATAGACGTAACTTGTTTATGGATATATTGCTAATATTCCTATTCTCACAACCAGGACCAATCACAAACAGGAAAAGACAATGAATTTTCGGATTAACACCTCTGTTTTCTCCCACACTGACCAAATTTCTCCCACGCTAACGAACAAATGTTTTGTCTTCTACTGACTTCCTGTTCCGGTCCATCTGTGAGAGTGTTGAAATTGGTGCAAAACATGGTCTATTAGGAGAAAACACACAGAATCTGTTGCAGCGTTGAATAAATAATGCTTCCACTAAAGGTCAATTGACTGTCACTCAGGATTTTGAAAATCTAGTCTTTTTTCTGATGTAATATTGTTTTAATCTCTCAAATAAACGATGGTTGATTTTAGACTGACTTATGGTGTTCAAGTGTGTATCCAAAAAATTATCGAGTTAATTTTAACCCACTGTTTAAATGTATGCGTGAACAGATTAACTCAGTATTGACACCAG